TCACCTAAACAACAAGGTTAAGTCTAACAAGGCCGTCAATTTGTTGAGAAGCTAAGAAATTGATAGGTCAAGAAACTCCTTCTTGATCTAGGGGACTAGGGGGATCCAAAGGAAACTGCTTGAGCGAAATACTAGTATTACTTATATACGTCGCACTCAAAACAACATAAGCCACTCTATGGCAAGTTATGGTAGGGTTTAGAGCCGCACAGCTTTTTGGTTAGGTCAGGACCTGATGAGGTCATAAAACGTTGTGAATTTGACTGTAATCCAATTGTTTGACTAATACAAGTATTTTCCCCACAAAAAAAAACTCCACATCTCACTGTCGTCATGAACGACCAATTTGTGGTCCGAACATGTCCACCCCGTAATTATTTTGAAAATGGTAATTCCATCCATCCATGTAGATTAACTGTTAATTGAGATAAACTTTATTGAGACGGGAAATTGGTTGAATTTCAGTTAATAAATAAGATGATTAGACCGAAAAATAAAGTAACGATGGCTCAGACCTGTCTTCGTCTATCATTTCTTGAGTCGTTCGTGGAATAGAGAACCTGCTGCTAGTGTGACCATGCATCTTGCGACGGCGAAACCTTGCTATGCAGCAGCTGCTTCGTGAAGTAGCCTATCCTTAGAAGAGCTTGCTCTTTTCCCTAACAACTTGGTTATTGGTCTGTTGACATGCTGTTCACGTGCACGGCCGCACGTGCACCATCATATGTGTCCTAGCGACCCAGCCGATGGCGAGGCTACCGGCGGACTCCTATTACCAAGCACGCATCTCGCTTGATGCACACATCATGTTATTCTATCATGCAATGCAGTTGCAGATCTCCACCATTTTTCTTGGCACCTTCTCAAAGCTCTCCATCAACTGTAATGGCAGCTTTCTCTCTCCTCTATTTCAAAATCAAAACAAAGAAAGAGGAGATGTTTTTTCTCGTTTGAAAGGCCGACTTGGTCCTCCTATCTCACATCTTCTCTTCGCTGATGACAACATCTTCTTTGCAAAGAGTAACACACGTAGTGTGGATGCATTGTGTTCAACTTCCGATGTGTAATCTCATAGCTCTCAATCAATCTATGGTAAGGTTGCCTTGGTTGGTTCATTTGTTGCTATATACACTCATTCCTCTTTAATATGTGGTTCAATCTCGCATCCTTGTAACTAAGGCTTCATTTGGCATTGTGATGGACTCGGGTTACCTGCCTTTCCTTTTCCTACTTTAGTCTTCCTTTGCCTCACTTTTTATCTAGCTACTTTGGTGCCAAACTTCACATCGAATAGAATTATATAAAATAAGTATATCAAATTACATGTCAGCAACTTGTTAAATCGAAACACAAGCTAGTGATCCAAGCTGAGAGTGTGGGTACCATTAGAGCGGTCAAATCTAGAAGCTATATCATTAGCTGTTGGAACAAAAGGCCTGATAAATATATTTCCCTACCATCTTCCAATCTTGTTAGTAAATAAGTACCTTTTGACGAGCTAGTTAAAACCGTGCAGCTGAAATTAAGAAAGGAACCACCAGGGGGAGAGAGAGATCATCAATTGAGTGTCTATATACACATCCATCATGGATGGTGCATGCATGAATTATTTGTATTCGGGTAGCTCCCTCCCTCCCGCCCGCCCTCCCCCTCCCTTAGTTGGTTAGTTAACCACTGCATCACCACTACCGTATGGATTGATCGATCATAATTAGTCCAACTCAATCTCGGCGTCTTGCTCGTGCAACACGCCGAGTGGTGGATGAGCATTTCCTTTTGCATGCATGTGTACGCATGCGTCTGCGTCTGTGTTTTTGAAAGAAAAAAATGGAATGAAGAAACATTCGTGATCGACAAAATCAAGCAGAGCTGGCAGCTGGGTGGGCAGAAAATGACATGTCTATTGTTTCCATGCAACGTGGCATGGTCCAGGGAAGCTGGAGGTTCATATATAATAGTTCATCTCGTGCACCTGTTATGAAATTAATAATTGCATTCCATGTTCTAGCCGACCGACCTCGCCCACTTAAGTCTTAATTCCACTGAGAACCCTAGGTAGCTACTACCTTCTCGTCCTGGTTTATTGGCCCCTTACTATTTTATGCCAAATTTTGATCACAGATTTAATTAATAAATTGTAAATGCATGTTTCAAAACGATGATTTTTTATGGGGAGGGGCACCGGGCTTACTAAGCGACGAGAGATATCCGTTGAGGACATAAGTGAGAGAGATGTGGAGACGGGCAAGATAGCACACTAGGGGTTGGGACATGCGGCTACGGTCTGGATGTCAAAGGATTCTATGTATTTTCCACAAGCCTGGTCACTAAGCAATTATATAAAAGATCTGACATTGATACTTGAGTATGACTTCAACTCTTTCTAAAAACGCACAATGATGCATTATTTCCTATGAATCGACAGTGATACCTCTATATAACTCGCAGATCCAAAGCAACTTGTAGTGCTGACTTTTCTGTATAAATGGGACAATAATCTGTGTTGAAATTAATAAATTGAGCAAAAGTATGTTGCAATGAGATGCACTTATTTAAACACACATGTTTCTATGTGGTGATGCTCTGCACATGTACAACTAATATCAAATATGTACATGCTATTTCCACTTACACGCTTTTGCATGCATTATTTTGTCATCGACATCGTTACTCTCAACGGAAGTGGGATATGCTGATGTTTCTTAATCAATCAAGTAAAATGCATGGATCCTTGCCATCAACATCGTTAATCTCGACAACGGTGGATATGCTGATGTTTCTTAATTAATGAAGACAAATGAATGCATTGTTATCATCGACATCCTTAATTTGGACATGGAGGGCATATGCTGATGCTTCTTATCAATTAACTGTGAGCAAAATGCATGCATTGTTATAATCGACATGGCGTAAGCTACTCAAATCGGAGTGCACTCATACATTTGTATTTATACACACACATACCATGAACACAAGATCATCACCACGAGAAAAGCTAAGGTTCTGTTAGGTATAGCAGCATCTTCTTCCATAAAGGTTGGCACAGATTATTTTTTATTGTTGCATAAATTTTCCATTAAATATTTCAGTAGACTAATTACTTTTTTGGCTAGGAGATAATGCTTTCGATTATGACATCTTCCTAGGCTTAGAGCATGTTTCCCATCCCATTATTAGTTAACAACAGAGATTATAATTATTATCATCATCATCATTATTATTATTATAAAAACAAAACACCATGCATGTTTCTCTTGATTATCTATGTATTTCTCAATTATTTATGCTTGTTGTTAATTAACAGTTTCGAAAGGGAGGAAGGCTCGGGTTAATGCGTGATAAGGGTAGACATGCCTGGTCCGGTGCCTGAATCGTGGCCGGGTCTGATTGGTACTGAACTGAATGCAGCAGTTCAGATCATCTCTCAGGAGAGGCCCGATCTTCCAATCTTGTTAGTAAAGAAGTACCTTTTGACGAGCTGGTTAAAACCATGCAGCTGAAATTAAGAAATAATTAGTCCGACTCAATCTCGGCGTCTTGCTCGTGCAATACGCTGAGTGGTGGATGAGCGTTTCCTTTTGCATGCATGTGTAGGCATGCGTCTGTGTCTGTGTTTTTGAAAGAAAAAAATGGAATGAAGAAACATTCGTGATGGACAAAATCAAGCATAGCCCGCAGCTGGGTGAGCTGAAAATGACATGTCTATTGTTTCCATGCAACGTGTCATGGTCCAGGGAAGCTCGAGGCTCATATATAATAGTTCATCTCGTGCACCTGTTAAGAAATTAATAATTGCATTCCATGTTCTAGCCGACCAACCTCGCCCACTTAAGTCTTAATTCCACTAAGAACCCTAGGTAGCTAGCTACTACCTTTTCGTCCTGGTTTGTTGGCCCCTTACTATTTTATACCAAATTTTGATCACGGGTTTAATTAATAAATTGTAAATGCATGTTTCAAAACGACTATTTTTTATGGGGAGGGGCATCGGGCTTACTAATTAAGCGACGAGAGATATTCGTTGAGGACATAAGTAAGAGAGATGTAGAGACGGGCAAGATAGCACACTAGGGGTTGGGACATGCGGCTATGGTCGGGATGTCAAAGGATTTGACATATTTTCCACAAGCCTGATCACTAAGCGATTATATAAAAGAACTGACATTGATACTTGAGTATGACTTCAACTCTTTCTTAAAACGCACAATGATGCATTATTTCCTATGAATCAACGGTGATACCTCTATATAACTCGCAGATCCAAAGCAACTTGTAGTTCTGACTTTTCTGTATAAATGGGACAATAATCTGTGTTGAAATTAATAAACTGAGCAAAAGTATGTTGCAATGAGATGCACTTATTTAAACACACATGTTTCTATGTGGTGATGTTCTGCACACGTACATCTAATATTAAATACGTACATGCTATTTCCACTTGCACGCTTATGCAGGCATTATTTTGTCATCGACATCGTTACTCTCAACGGAAGTGGGATATGCTGATGTTTCTTAATCAATCATAATTAGTCCGACTCAATCTCGGCGTTAGGTATAGAAACATGTGTACGTGTGGGAGTGCACTCATACATTTGTATTTATACACACACATACCTTGAACACAAGATCATCACCACGAGAAAAGCTAAGGTTCTGTTAGGTATAGCAGCATCTTCTTCCATAAAGGTTGGCACAAATTATTTTTTGTTGTTGCATAAATTTTCCATTAAATATTTCAGTAGACTAATTACTTTTTTGGCTAGGAGATAATGCTTTCGATTATGACATCTTCCTAGGCTTAGAGCATGTTTCCCATCCCATTATTAGTTAACAACAGAGATTATAATTATTATCATCATCATCATTATTATTATTATAAAAACAAAACACCATGCATGTTTCTCTTGATTATCTATGTATTTCTCAATTATTTATGCTTGTTGTTAATTAATAGTTTCGAAAGGGAGGAAGGCTCGGGTTAGTGCGTGATAAGGGTTGACATGCCTGGTCCGGTGCCTGAATCGTGGCCAGGTCTGATTGGTACTGAACTGAATGCATCAGTTCAGATCATCTCTCACGAGAGGCCCGATATCAGAATTGCCCGAGTACTCCCTCCAGGAGAGGCTCCATCCCCACCGCCACAAGACCAAGAACGCGTTATCATTTACAACGAAGTCGGCCCGGTGCCTAATACATGGGTGGTTGTTCCTCCTGCACCATACGTTGGCTAGCTAGCCTGCCTTACATGACTGGCTTTACCTTTTGTGCCTTTATTATTAGAGGCTAGAATCAATTGAATAAGGTGAGCGAGTGTGATATCGACCACCATGCATTAATAATGCTATGTAGTCTATGCGGGCATGCCTGAATTATATTGTTTACTCATATATGTACTAGTGTGATGTATCTGCAAATATTTCAATGGGTGTACTATTTGGCAATGAAATAATGAATTATGTGTTTTATTCTTTTTCGATGAGTGGCTTGCTTTATCTTGTATGGCCTATAATATTAGCACCATGTCATACACAAGTATCAATGTGCATTTTTAGAAAGAATTGAAGTCATACTCAAGTATCAGTGTCAGTTCTTTTGAATGAATTGGTAGTGATCATGCTTGTGGAAAATACGTAGAATCCTTTGATGTCCCGACCGCAGCCGTATGTCCCAACCCCTAGTGTGTTATCTTGCATGTCTCTACATCTCTCTCACTTATGTCCTCAACAGATATCTCTCGTCGCTTAGTAAGCCCTCTGCCCCTCCCCATCAAACAAAAAAGAAAAAAATACACCACGAAAAGCTAAAGGAAATATGTCATATGTATATCACAATTCCTCCACTGATCATCGCACACCTACATGAAGTAGATGAATTTACACCAACAATTGTTCACCATAAGAGGTCAACTTCATAGTTACTGATAGCATCGGATTACAATCTTACAGGACAGAGCTAGAAATATGGCACCTTTGCTAAATCTAGACCAACAATGATGCACCATTGCACTATTGGAACCACCCAGAACAGATAATGGACATTAGAATTCACATTAGTATAGAATAGAATAACGTGATTAGCGTCATAGCAGCTGCATTTGCTAAAACGTAGTGTTTCCCTCTTCAAATACGTTTTAACAGTGCTATAACAGCAAAATAGCGCGCTATTTTTTCGTTGATATAGATGGATCGTATCTGCCCTCCTATGGTTCAGCAGCAATCGGTATGTTGCTTAGACACTTAAGTGGTGTGATCATATTTACTTCATGTCGACATCAGAGCACGTGGCCAAGCTCAAGCGGCAGCAGGACAGGGTCGTCCGACGAATGAAGGGGCTCATCGTCCTCTCCGAGGACACCGCCGACGATGGCAACTACCACGGCTCCAGCTCCGACGACTCCAATTGTCCTGCACCTGCTGCTGACGCCTACAGCTGCACCGGCGACTGGAGGAGCAAAGGCCCGGCGAGGAAGTGGTGAATATCCGCCATCTCCGTTGTTAATCTCTAGTTATTTATGTATCTAGTTAGAACCTACCCCATGATATGTGGATTATGTCAGCTATGAGTAGCTTTTGAAGACCCATCAGTGATGTTCTGTTGATCGGAATGTGCATATCTATGTCTGTTTCATAGTCCATGCGATGATCTACGTAATTTGTTGACCTTGGTCGCAGATGCTCTTACGTCATCCAGCGAGCTGATGTCCAAGACAAGTTTTGAACTTTCGCCCAGAGATTTGGAGATTAAACTATCAGCCAGCTAGATGACGTTAGATTTAGTCAATAAAGAACCAACCCACGACCATTCTTTGCAAGTTGTCTAAAGAAGCAGAAAATAAAGCTCTGTGTTCCCAAGCGTGTATATTCGCAGCCCGTTGTTTCTTTGATCTTTCTTTTCGTAGTTAACTTTTTTAAATATAATGGACTAAATTTTAATTTCATGAATAATACTTGAGTTAAGTGAAAAATACTAAAGTGTCATGAACACAATTTGAATCAAATGTTGAAGACTTTGCATTTAATGAACAGTTCTTGAACATCGTGAAAAAGATTGGAATTTGGTGATTACTTAGGAGATATCATGAACGCGATTGGAATTTTCTGAACTATTTTAAATATCCATAAATAAATTAGAATTTCATGCACAATATTTGAATTTGTTGATCTTTTTCCAAAAAACTAAATTGAATGAGATTTTAAATTTGGTAAACTTTTATTATACATGATGAACAAGATTTGAATTCCATGAACTTTTTTTAATATTATAATTAGTTAACTTTTTTGAATATCTGGAGCATGATTGGAATATAATGAAGCATTTTCAATAATCACATTAACTATATTTGAATTCTGTGACTAATGTTTCAATTTAGTAACTTTGTTAAATATCATGAATTAACTTTGAATTTTGGTTTGAAGATATTAAATTTGGTGAAATGCTTTTGAATATCGAGGACAAGCTTTGAATTTGGTAAAATCTTTGAATAATGGCTTTTCGTGGTGTATTTTTCTTTTCTTTTTTTTGTTTTTGACAGGAAGGGGCAGCGAGCTTACTAAGCGACTCGAGATATCCATTGAAGACCTAAGTGAGAGAGATGTAGAGACAGACAAGATAGCACACAAGGGATTGGGACATGCGGCTGCGGTCGGGACGTCAAACGATTCTGCGTATTTTTCACAAGCCTGATCACAACCAATTCTTTAAAAAGAACTGGCATTGATACTTGAGCATGACTTCGATTCTTTCTAAAAACACGCAACGATGCATTATTTCCTATGAATCCACAGTGATACCTCTATATAACTCGCAGATCCAAAGCAACTTGTAGTGATGACTTTTCTGTATTAATGGGATAATAATCTGTGTTGAAAAATTATAAATATAGCAAAAGTATGTTGCAATAAGATGCACCTTTAACACACATGTTTCTACATGTGGATATGCTCTGCATACATACATAAAAAATCAAATACGTACATGCTACTTCAACTTACATGCTTAAGCATGCATTATTGTGTCATCGACATCATTCTCTCAACAAAAGGGTGATATCTTGATGTTTCTTAATCAATGAAGTAAAATGCATGGATTCTTGTCATCAACATCGTGAATCTCGACAAGCAGTGGATATGCTGATGGCTCTTAGTTAATGAAGACAAATGATTGCATTGTTATCACCCACATTGTTAATTTCGACAAGGAGTGCATATACTGATGCTTCTTATTAATTAACTGTGAACAAAATACATGCATTGTTATAATCGACATGGCGTAAGTACACAAATGGGTGTGCACTCATACATTTGTATTTATACACACACGTACCTCGAACACAATATCATCACCACGAGAAAAGCTAAGGTTCTATTAGGTATAGCAGTCTCTTCTTCCCTGAAGCTTGGCATGTATTTTTTTATTATTGCATTGCATTAAATATTTCAGTAGACTGATTACTTGTTTGGTTGGCAGATAATGCTTTCGGTTATGACATCTTCCTAGGCTTAGAGCATGTTTCCCATCCCTTTATCAGTTAATACAAGAGATTATCATGGCATATTGTTATTATTATTATTACTGTTATTATAATAAAACCGAAACACCATGCATGTTTCTCTTGATTATCTATGTATTTCTCAATTACTTATGCTCTTTGTTAATTAATAGTTTTGAAAGGGAGGAAGGCTCGGGTTAGTGCGTGATCAGGGTAGACATGCCTGGTCCGGTGCCTGAATCGTGGCCAGGTCTGATTGGTACTGAACTGAATGCAGCAGTTCAGATCATCCATCGGGAGAGGCCTGATATTAGAATTGCCCGAGTACTCCCTCCAGGAGAGGCTCCATCCCCACCGCCACAAGACCAAGAACGCGTTATCATTTACAACGATGTCGGCCCGGTTCCTAATACATGGGTGGTCGTTCCTCCTGCACCATACATTGGCTAGCTAGCCTGCCTTGCATGGCTGGGTTTACCATTTGTGCAATTATTATTAAAGTCTATAATCAATTGAATAATGTGAGCAAGTGCGATATCGATCGCCATGCATTAATAATGCTATGTAGTCTATGTGGGCATGCCTGAATTATATTGTTTACTCATATATGTAGTAGTGTGATGAATCTACAAGTATTTCAATGAGTGTACTATTTGGCAATTGAATAATGAATTATGTGTTCTATTCTTTTTTGATGAGTGGCTTGCTTTATCTTGTATTGCTTATATTATTAGCACCATGTCATACACAAGTATCAATGTGCGTTTTCAGAAAGAAATGAAGTCATACTCAAGTATCAATGTCGGTTCTTTTTAAAGAACTAGTAGTGATCATGCTTGTGGAAAAAAATGTAGAATCCTTTGACGTCCCGACCGCAGCCACATGTCCCAACCCCTAGTGTGCTATCTTGCATGTCTCTAAATCTCTCTCACTTATGTCCTCAACAGATATCTCTCGTCGCTTAGTAAGCCCTCTGCCCCTCCCCATCAAACAAAAAAGTAAAAAATTCACCACGAAAAGCTAAAGGAAATATGTCATACGTATATCACAATTCCTCCACTGATCATCACACACCTATATGAAGTAGATGAATTTACAACAACAATTGTTCACCATAAGAGGTCAACTTCATAGCTACTGATAGCATCAGATTACAATCTTACAGGACAGAGCTAGAAAGATGGCACCTTTGCTAAATCTAGACCAACAATGATGCACCATTGCACTATTGGAACCACCCAGAATAGATAATGGACATTAGAATTCACATTAGTAGAGAGTAGAATAACGTGATTAGCGTCATAGCAGCCACATTTGCTAAAACATAGTGTATCCCTCTTCAAATACGGTGTAACGGCGCTATAACAGCAAAATAGCAAAATATATTTTCGTTGATATAGATGGATTATATCTGCCCTCCTATGGTTCGGCGGCAATCGGTATGTTGCTCAGACACTTAAGTGGTGTGATCATATTTACTTCATGTCGACATCAGAGCACGTGGCCAAGCTCAAGCCGTAGCAGGACAGGGTCGTCCGACGAATGAAGGGGCTCATCGTCCTCTCCGAGGACACCGCCAACGATGGCAACTACCACGGCTCTAGCTCCGACGACTCCAATTGTCCTGCACCTGCTGCTGACGCCTACAGCTGCACCAGCGACTGGAGGAACAAAGGCCCGGCGAGGAAGTGGTGAATCTCCGCCATCTCCGTTGTTAATCTCTAGTTATTTATGTATATAGTT